TGGGGGAGGGACATACAAGGCAACAAAGACATAATCTTATAAATATGTTAGAATCAATCTCATGAAAGATCTTTTCTTTTTTTTTTTTTTTTCAGTCGTGGGGCTTGAGCTCTAGACTTTGGAGCTGTCCCTGAGCAATTCAGCTCAAGGCTTATGCTCAATCACTTGTCCCTCTGAAATTTTGCAAAAAATAGCTGTTTTGAATTTTTTTAATGTATCAGGCACTATGCTAAGCATTTTTCTTTTTTTATGCCAGCCTTTGGGGCTTGAACTCAACACTGTCAGTTATCTTTGTGTTTAAAACTAGTGCTCTATCACTTGAGCCACAGTTCCACTTTTTTTCCCACCTTTTTTGGTGCTTAATTGGAGATGAGTCTTGGACTTTCTTGCCTGGGCTGGCTTTGAAACATGATCATCAGGTCTCAGCCTCTTAAGTAGTTAGGACTACTGGCATGAGCCACCAGTGTCCAGCTTTCAATGGTACTTCTATATTTGTCTGCCAGTATAGTACTAGGGCTAGAACTCAGGGCTTCTTGATCTTATTCAATTTTTCTCATTCATGGCCGATGCTCTACTACTTCATTCACAGTTTTGCTAGTTAATTGGAAATAAGAGTCTCTTTGGTTTGTCTGCATGGGTTGGCTTTGAATCTTTTGTTGTTGTTGTTGTTGGTCGTGGGGCTTAATCTCTGGGCCCGGGTGCTGTCCCTCAGCTCTTCAGCTCAAGGTAAGCGCTCTACCACTTGAACCACAGCACCACTTCTGGTTTTCTGGTAGTTTACTGGAGATAAGAGTTTCACAGACTTTTCCTGCCTAGGCTGGCTTTGAACCAAGATCCTAAAATCTCAGTCTCCTGAGTAGCTAGGATTACAGGCATGAGCCACTGGCGCCCAACTGGCTTTGAATCTTGATCCTCAGATCTCAGCTCTTGAGCAGCGAGGATTATAGACCTGCCAATTTTGAGATTGCTTTTGAAATAAACCTTTAAAATTGTTTTTCTTCAACTAAGTTACAGTTAAAAAAAAAAAAAGAATACCAGGGGCTGGGAAGGTAGCTCAGTGGTAGAGCCGCTTGCCTTGCATGCATGAGGCACTGGGTTCAATTCCTCAGTACCACATAAGCAGAAAAAAAGCCAGAAGTGGTGCTGTGGCTCAAGTGCTAGAGCATTAGCCTTGAGCTGAATAGTTGAGGGACAGTAGCCAGACCCAGATCCCAGATTTCAGGCCCCACAACAGACAATACATATATACATATATATGTATGTATATATATGTATGTATGTGTGTGTATATACACACACACACACCAATGCCAGCAACCAGTGGCTAATCAGGAGGCTGAGATCTGAGGATTACAGTTCAAAGCCAGCCCAGGCAGAAAAGTCCACAAGACTCCAATTAACCACCAGAAAACCAAAAGTGGTGCTGTGGCTCAAGTGGTAGAGTACTTGCCTTGAGCTGAAGAGCTCAGGGACAGTTCCCAGGCCCAGAGTTCAAGCCCCACATCTGACTCCCCGCCCCCCCCATCCCCCCAAAATACCAGGAAGCTGAAACATGTTTTGTCAGTGAGGAATAATTAAAAGGACAGGGGCTAGATGAATGGAGAGAAGAGTGGCTCCATGCACACTTGTGAAAATGAAACCATGGAAACTGAGGGGATAGGTGGGGGCTGGGACAGATTGGGAGAATAATGGAAGGGGTGACATTGATCCAGATACATTGTACTCATAAACTAATATGTTGAATTGAAACCCCTTTATATGATTACTTAAAGATAATAAAAAAAATAAGTTAAAAAACAAGTTGTTCCTGAGCCAGACACTGGTGGCTCACACTTGTAATCTTAGATGCTCAGAAGGTTAAGATAGCTGGTCACTGGTGGCTAACACCTATAATCCTAGCTACTCAGGAGGTTAAGATCAGAGGATCGAGATTCAAAGCCAATTGGGGCAGGAAACCACCAGAAAACCCAGAAGTGGCACTGTGGCTCAAAGTGGTAAAGCACTAACCTTGAGTGAAAAAGCTCAGGGACAGTACCCAGGCCATGAGAAGCCCCATGACTGACAAAAAAAAAATTTGAAAAACTTAAAAAATAAATTGTTAAGTGAAATTATGTTTCATTTTGTTTTTAAAGGGAAGATAAAAATTCAAGATATTTTAGCGTGTAGCTTCCTAGATGATTTACTTGAGGTAAATATGCTTTTTCAAATATTTTTAAACTTAATTGTATCACTTTATATTTGCCATCTTCTGATTATGTCTTTGTGTTCTGTGTTTAGCTAAGGGATGAAGAACTGTCTAAAGAGAGCCAAGAAACAAATTGGTTTTCTGCTCCTTCTGCCCTAAGGGTTTATGGTATGTTCTCATATACAATTTGAATTATTCATTCCTCAGGTAAGTGGGTTTCAGAGGAGAGTTTTATACATAGTCTATTTTACCTTAAGTTAAAAGTATTCTAATTAGGATCTTGTATTCTAGATACTAAGAATAACCCTTTTTTTTGCCAGGGCTGGTGGCTTACACCTATAATCCTAGCCACTCAAGAAACTGAGATCTGATAATTTTGGTTGGAAGCCATGCCAGACAGGAAAGTACATGAGATTGTTATCTCCAGTTAACCACCAGACAACCAGAAGCAGAGCTGTGGCACAAAGTGGAGTGCTAGCCTTGAGCAGAAAAGCTCAGGGACAGCGCCCAGGCTCTGACTTCAAACCCATGGACAACAAAAAAAAGCCGGGCACTGGCATTTTATGCCTATAATCCTAGCTATTCAGGAGGCTGAGATCTGAAGATCACAGTTCAAAGCCAGCCTGGATAGGAAAGTCCATGAGACTCTTTATCTCCAGTTAACCACCAGAAAAGTGGAAGTGGCACTGTGGCTCAGTGGTAGAGTGCTGGCCTTGAGCAGAAAAACTCAGGGACAGTGCCTAGTCCCTGAGTTCAAGCCCCACAACTGACAAAAAAAAAAAAACTTTTTTGGAATACATTTCTTTCCAATAGAACAGATGTAATTTGATCTTTTTTATTAACTCAGATATCATTTATAAATGTTATCTTTGTGATAATTTCATTAGTTTGTTACATTATCCTGTTGAATTGTCTTCTGACTCATTTTGGTATCCATTATATAAATTTGCAAATTGATAGCATTTAATTGTTTCTTATTCACCCCTCCTTCTAATTTAGAAACCTAATAAGGTTCTAAAATGTTACAAACAAAATACAAAAATATAAGTGAATTAGGCACCTGTGGCTCACACCTGTAATCCTAGTTACTCATGGGGCTGAGATCTAAGGATTGAAGTTGGAAGACAACCCAGCAGAAAAGACCATAAGCCTCTTACCTCAAATTAACCAACACAAAGCTGGAAGTGGAGGTATGCTCAAGTGGCAGAGCAATAACCTTGAGCAAAAAAGCTCAGAGACAATGCCCAGGCCCTAAATTCAAGCCCAGTACCAGCACCAAAAAACAAAACAAAACAAAAATAGCCCAAAGACATTAGCCTTCATGGTAGGCTTTCTTTGGCTATTTCTAGATTATTGGTTAATCTCCTTTAGATTCCAGCCATATGTTGATGGCTCATGCCTATAATTCTAGCTACCCAAGAGGCTGAGATATGAGTATTGGGGTTCAAAGCCAGCCCTGGCAGGAAAATCTCTGAGACTCTTCTATTAACTACCAGAAAACCAAAGAGGCGCTGTGGCTTACAGTGGTAGAGCACTAGCCTTGAGCAGAAGAGCTCAGAGACAACATCCAGGCCTTGAGTTCAAGCCCTACAACCCCACAAACAAAAAACAGAAAAAAATTAAAATATCACTGATTTTTTTTTTTTTAGTTGGTTGTGGGGCTTGAACTCTGGGCTTGGGCACTGTCCCTCAGCTCTTCAGCTCAAGGTGAGCACTCTACCACTTTGAGCCACAGCATCACTTCCAGTGTTCTAGTGGTTTATTGGAGATACGAGTCTCACGAACTTTCCTGCCCAGGCTGGCTTTGAACAGAGATTCTTAGATCTCAGCCTCCTGAGTAGCTAGGATTACAGGTGTGAGCCTCCGGCATCCAGCAGTATCACTGATTTTACTATACATAAGCCATTACCCTGTGACAAAATTAATTTCAATCCAAATATTAGCCCATAAATTGAACATTCTGTTAATGTCCAATCTTTGACTAAATTTTTTTGTTTTTTTTTGGGGGGGGTCCGGTCGTGGGGCCTGAACTCTGGGCCTGGGTGCTGTCCCTCAGCTCTTCAGCTAAAGGCTAGCACTCTACCACTTGAGCCACAGTACCACTTCCGGCTTTTTTTTTTTTTCTGCTTATGTGGTGCTGAGGAATCAAACCCAGGGCCTTAAGCATGCAAGGCAAACGCTCTACCACTGAGCCACCTTCCCAGCCCCTTGACTAAAATTTTTATAGTCCTAAATATCTTATCTTTTTCCCTAGGTCAGTATTTGAATCTTGATAAGGATCACAACGGCATGCTCAGTAAAGAAGAACTCTCCCGCTATGGAACAGCAACCATGACCAATGTTTTCTTAGATCGAGTTTTCCAGGAGTGTCTCACTTACGATGGAGAAATGGTAATTGTATAAATCTTCTGATAAGCTTAAAAATTAGGCTTCTAGAGTTTCTAAGAGATCTTTATTGGTGTGAGTCAGCATTATTAGTATAATGAGTTACAGTATCCTAAAAAGTATAAAACAATCAAATTACTAAGTATTTGAAACATAATTTAATTCACTGTAAAATATTTTTTATAGAAAACTTTAATAGTTTGTTGTCACAGGAGTATGAACTAGTAAAAAAAAATCTGAAAATTAAAAGATATTTTTACTACTTCCAAATAATACTTCAGCCATTAAATTACCAGGTCTAAAATAGTGCTAAATGTGCCATGATTAAATCAAGAACTAGGACTAGGAAGATGGCTTAGTGGTAGATGGTTCGATTCCTCAGCACCACATAAACAGAAAAATCCAGAAGTGGCTCTGTGGCTCAAGTGATAAGAGTGCTAGCCTTGAGCAAGAATCTCAGGGAAAAGTGCCCAGGCCCTGAGTTCAAGCCCTTGGGCTGCTCCCCCCCACCCCCCCAAAAAAAGAAGGAAAGAAAAAAAAGAACCCAGTTATTTGTCTATTGTTAGAAGCTAAATATAACTATATAAATTGATATAGAATTATCCTTTTTCTTCCCAAAATTCTTGTGAATGTGATTACATTTAACCTTAAAACTTACAGCTTACATTTATATAGTTGGATATAGATTTTTTTTAATTTCTCTTTGTTTTCAATATCCACTTCCCAAGCTAATGATGCTTAAGAAATAATCATACTGACAAAAATGGGGTTTAACATTTTATCAGCTTTAATTTAAGCAACTTACTGTTAAGCAACAGTAATGAAAAGAGGATGGGGCTGGTGCTGGTGGCTCACGCCTGTAATCCTATAGCTACTCAGGAGGCTGACATCTGAGGGTCATGGGTTGAACCAGAAGTGACACCATGGCTCAATCTGATAAAGCACTAGACTTAAGCAAAAGAGCTCAGGGACAGGGCTTAGCCCTGATATCAAGCCCCATGGGGTGGGGGTTGGGGGGAAATGGTCCATTGATCTACTGAGGGGCATATGGGTTGGTTCCATTATCTTAGCTATGGAGAATAATGCTGTAAAAAAAACATAGCTGTGCTGGTAGCTTTAGTATGGCTTTGTTTTGGGTAAATGCCCAGAAGTGGGATTGCTGGGTCATTGGGGAGCTCTATGTGTAATCTTTTGAGAAACCTCCATACTGCTTTTCAGAGTGGTTGAATACATTTACACTCCCATCAACAGTGCAGTAGGGTTCCCTTTTGGCCACATCCCCTTCAGTATCTGTTGTTATTAGACTTCTTGATTATAGCCATTCTAATGGGTGAGGTGGAATCTCAATGTTGTTTTGACTCGCATTTCTTTTATGCCCAGATAAGTTGAGCATTTCTTCATGTATCTATTGGTCATTCTTATTTCCTCTTCAGAGAAGTCTCTCGTTAAGTCTTTAGTCCATTTATTAATGTGGCAATTGTTTCTTTGAGGAATTGTTGTTGGGGGATTTTTTTTGAGTTCTAAGTATATTTTAGAGGCCCTAGTCTGTTGTATGGCTAGTGAAGATCTCCCAATCCATTGATCTTGCTAGCTATGTCCTTTGCCATGCAGAAGCTCTGCAGTTTCATGCAATCCCATTTGTCCAACCTTTCTTTGATTTATTGTGTTTCTGGTCTTTGTTAAGAAAATTTTGGCCTGTGCCAAGGAGCCCTAGAGTTTCTCCTATTCCTTCTTATGTTTTCAGGGTGTCTACTTTCACCTCAAGGTCTTTGATCCATTTGGAGTTGATTCTGGTGCAGGGTGATATATAAAGACCTAACTTGAGTTTTCTACAGGTGTTTAACCAAACCAATTTTGCCAGCACCGTTTACTGAAGAGGCTGTCTTTCTTCCACTCTATTTTTTTGGCTCCCTTATCAAAGATTATGTGGCTATAGGTCTGTGGGTTCATTTCTGGGTCTTCAGTTCTATTCCATTGGTCTTCATGTCTGTTCTTGTGCCAGTACTAAGCTGTTTTAATTACTATGGCTTTGTAGTAGAGTTGAAGTTTGGTATTGAAATTCTTCCAGTCCTGTTCTTTCTGCTAAGGATTGTTGGCTATTTGGGGTCTTTTATTGTTCCATATGAATTTTTGGATTGCTTCTTCTATTTCATTGAAGAATGAGGTTGGGATATTGATGGGTATTGTACTGAATTTGTAGTCTTTGGCAGTATGTGAGATATATATATATATATATATATTCAATGGAATTCTATGCTTCCATCAGAAAGAATGACACTGGCCCATTTGTTACAAAATGGAAAGAGGGCTGGGAAGGTGTCTCAGTGGTAGAGCGCTTGCCTTGCATGCCTGAGGCCCTGGGTTCAATTCCTCAGCACCACATAAGCAAAATGAAAAAAGCCAGAAGTGGCGCTGTAGCTCAAGTAGTAGATAGAGCACTCGTCTTGAGCTGAAGAGCTGAGGGACAGCGCCCAGGCCCAGAGTTCAGGCCCCATGACCAGACCCCCCCCCCAAAAAAAATGGAAAGACTTGGAAAAATCATATTAAATGAAGTAAGCCAGACTCAAAGAAATACAGGCCCCATTGTTTCCCTTATTTGCAATAATTAGTATATGTCTAGGATCTTATCAGATAAGCAGAAAAGTTCAAATGCTATGTACATATGACCATATTAAGATGATGCTAAGTGAAATGAAACCAAGATAAAGACATGAGGTTTTTTGTTGTTTTTAATGTACAATGTGATTTTTTTTGTTTCTTTTGTATGTTCTTTCACCTATGGTATATCCCTGTTATCACTGTATTTGATTTTGGTACCTTGCATCTTGTATATACATTATCTAATTTGGGGAGAGGAAGGGGAAAAACAAAATGCTGAAACAAGGACACAGGAGGACCCATTTCAACAATGAGACTCACAAGACACTATGTTGGAAATGAGCTTTACAACTTTTGGGTGAGGGGAGTGAGTGGGGAGGCAGGGAAGGGAAGGGATAGTAGGAGAAAAACAAAGGAGGGGGTAACAATACTTGACAAGAAATATACCCATTACCTTACTCATGTAACTGTAACCCCTCTGTACAGCATCTTTACAATAAAATAAAACTAAAAGAAAAAAGAAAAGAGGGTGGGGAAAGAACTGTCTGTGACTCTACTCTTGGCAGTAGACTCTAAGGATCCTGTACTATCCTAGTGACTTCTGGTTAATAATGAAAATCAGAGATCGTAAGTGAATACGAAACTGCACTTCTTTAATTCTTTTTTTTTTTGGGGGGGGGTCCGGTCATGGGGCCTGAACTCTGGGCCTGGGCGCTGTCCCTCAGCTCTTCAGCTCCAGGCTAGCGCTCTACCACTTGAGCCACAGCGCCACCTCCGGCTTTTTTCTTTTTGCTTATGTGGTGCTGAGGAATCGAACCCAGGGCCTCTGGCTTGCAAGGCAAGTGCTCTACCACTGAGCCACCTTCCCAGCCCCTTTAATTCTTTATACTGCAATTTATGCAGAAAGAAAAAAAATCTTCCAAGAATTTAATTTTTTTTTTCCAAATGAGAATCTATCAAGTACTTTTCACTACACAAAACAAGTACTGTCTATAAGAGTACCTTTTTAGAGACAAATTTGCTATTCAGGTCTTTTTTTCTTTTTCTTCTTTTCAGGTCCTGGTCCTTGACTCTGGGCCTTGACTCTGACTCTGAGCTTCTTTTGCTGAAGGTTAGCACTCTACCTCTTTTTTTTTCTTTTTTTTTTTTCCTTTTTTGGTCAGTCATGGGGCCTGAACTCTGGGCCTGCGCACTGTCCCTCAGCTCTTCAGCTGAAGGCTAGCACTGTACCACTTGCACATCAGCCCCACTTCCGGCTTTTTCTGTTTATGTGGTGCTGAGGAATCCAACCCAGGGCCTCATGTATGCAAGGCAAGCACTCTACCACTGAGCTACCTTCCCAGCCCCAGCGCTCTACCTCTTAAGCCACAGCACCACTTCCAGCTTTTTTTTTTCTTTTTGAGTAGTTTATTGGAGATAAGAGTCTCACAAAGTTTCCTGCCCAGGCTGGTTTTGAACCAGGATCCTCAGATCTCAGCCTCCTGAGAAGCTAGAATTACAGGTGTGAGCTACCAGTGCCCAGAAATTCAGGTCTTCCAAGCTTTCATTTGTATCTTTTTTTTGTGTGGATGGAAACAGATTTTCTTACTGGAAATCTTTTTTTTTTCTTTTTGCTGGTCCTGGAACTTGAACTCAGGGCCTGGGCACTGTCCTTGAGCCTCTCTGTGCTCAAGGCTAGTACTCTACCACTTGAGCCACAGCACCATTTCTGGCTTTTTCTGTTTATATATTGAGGAATCGAACCTAGAACTTCCTGCATGCTAAGCAACCACTCTACCACTAAGCCACATTCCCAGCCTGGAAATCATTTTAACAACATTTTAAACAACAATTATCTGTAAGTATCAGCAGATGGTTCTAGGATCAGATACTAAAACTTAACAGATGATGCTCTCAAGTTCCATATGTAAAATAGTATATTTGCATACAACCTACATACTTTCTCCCAGGATACTTTAAATCATACCTAAGATAAGTAGTATGGATATATTTTTAAGGACTAGTGAATGACAAGGAAAAAACAAATATATTAAATATAGTACAATTTATTTTCGTTTTGGTTGGTCGTTAGGGCTGAACTCTGAGCCTGGGAGCTATCCCTCAGCTCTTCAGCTCAAGGATAGCACCCTACCACTTAAGCCACAACTCCACTTCCGGCTTTTTTCTGCTTATGTGGTACTGAGGAATCAAACCCAGGGCTTCATGTATGTGAGGCAAGCACTCTACCACTGAGCCAACTTCCTATCCCCAGTACAACTTTTTTCCCAAAGATTTTCAGTCTACAGCTGAATCCATAGATGTAACTCACAAATGTGGAGGACTAGCTATATTCTACAATAGCAATTTAAATGTTATTTTTTTCTAAATAACCATATTGAAAAGAAAATACAAACAATGGCAGTGTACAATAATTTAGTCACTATATTGTCTGTTTTACTTTATGATAAGAGGTTTAAAATAGCAGATCTCTCTCAGGAAGTGAACTATGTCCTCCAATACTGTTTTACACTGGTTAACTTAGAATTCTTAGAAAGTAACATTAAATGTACAAATGGACTTATATTTTAGTAACTTAAAATAATTTTCTACTGATGATTGAGAAATAACTTCTAATTATCAGATATTCACCTGAAAATCGAATTTCAATTTAACCTCTTATGAGTATTCTCTTTTCAATAGGACTATAAGACATACTTGGACTTTGTTCTTGCCTTAGAAAACAGAAAGGAACCTGCTGCTCTGCAATATATTTTCAAACTGCTTGATATTGAGAACAAGGGATATCTGAATGTCTTTTCCCTTAATTATTTCTTTAGGGTAAGTATGGTTTACATAAAAAAAAACATTGTTCCTTAAGACTTATTTACCATTTGGCTTAATATACATACTGGTGACAATTTAACTTGTGACTTTTAAATTTAACAGAAGAGGTTAAGAGGGTATAGCTCATGCCCTGTCTAGTCTAGTAAGCACAAGGCCCTGAGTTCAATCTCTAGTACTGCTTCCATATCCCCTCCAAAGGAAAAAAAAATTAAGTTTATGAACAAAAGGATTTATACAACGATTGCAAAAAGAAATCAAGTCTGTTTAAGACTTAAGAAATGGAAACAGCTGGGCACTAGCTCATACCTGTAATCCTAGCTACTCAGGAGGTTGAGATTAGAGTATTGAAGTTCAAAGCCAGCCCAGGCAAGAAAGCCTGTGAGACTCTGATCTCCAGTTAATTACCAAAAGAGCCAGAAGTACAGCACTAGCCTAAAGGTTCATGGGCAGGCCCTGAGTTCAACCACCAGGACCAACACCATAAAAAAAAGAAATGTGAACAGGGTAAACTAAAGCTGATTTGATTAGATTGTAGAGTAGTTTAAAAAAAATGTAGAGATGATACAATGAATGTTTGAAACAAGGCAATTTATGTTTTGAATACTTCATATATGAACCTTCATTCAGCCACTGCAATAAGCTTGAATGGGAATAAATGTTCTCAGAAATGTGAAAAAAAATGTAGAGAAAAAATGCTAGGAGTTTTATAAGCCCTTGGAGGGGAGAAATTTGTGCTCTTTTTGATCAAAAATTTGTGTAAGCTTTAAGCAGTAGCTCCTAGCCAGGGAAGTGTTTTTTTCTTTTTGGTATTAGGACTGGCTGGTATATGTCTTGCAATCACTCTTACTTTTTGCTTTAGTTTTTTTTGTTGTTTTGTTTTGTTTTTTTGTAAGGTCTCATACTTTTTACATAGGCTGGCCTTAATCCAAAATCCTCCAACCTTCACCACATGTGGGTGGGATTACCATTTGGCTTAAGATACATACATGCAGACTTTTGGAGAAGCTTTACATAATTGTGTTATAGATTCTTTTAATAGGTGTATTATTAAAGATAACTTTAAAACTGGCCAGAATTATATGCTGCATTTCAGTATGAAATACATTGGCTGAATTATTTATCTTGGACCTTAGCTGGGCCCAGAGAATAATGAGTTCTAAAGATAATTTGATTGTATCTGATTCAGTGTCAAGGCTGTAAAGGCTGTTTGCTCTTCTAAGACATAGGATTCTGTAATTTGAATAGCAACTTTTCCAATTGATGGAATAGTTTTGTACAGTAAAAATAAAGGTAAAAATTGGTAAGAAAGCATGACTAAAATGATAAAGATTGTGGTCTGATAGAAAAGAAAGTAAAACTGTAGAAAAGGTCTTGCAGAAGATTGGAACACTTGCTTCCCCCACCCCCTCCCCGGTCGTGGGATTGAACTTGGCCTGAGCACTGTCCCTAAGCTTCCTTTGCTGAAGGTGAGCACTCTACCACTTGAGCCATAGCACCACTCCTGCATTTTTTTTTTGTTGGTCATGGGGCTTGAACTCTGGGCCTGGGCGCTGTCCCTCGGTTCTTCAGCTCAAGGCTAGCACTCTACGGCTTAAGCCACAGCACCACTTCCAGTTTTCTGGTGGTTTATTACAGATAAAAGGCTCACAGACTTTCCTGCCAAGGCTGGCTTTGAACTGTGATCCTCAGATCTCAGCTTTCTGAGTAGCTAGGATTACAGGCTTGAGCCACAGGCACCCAGCATCTCTCCTGAGTTTTTGTGAGTAGTTTATTGGAGATAAAAAGTTACCATGAGGGGCTGAGAATGTGGCTCAGTGGTAGAGCGCTTGCCTTGCATGCCTGAGGCGCCCTGGGTTTGATTCCTCAGCACCACATAAGCAAAAAGAAAAAAGCCGGAAGTGGCACTGTGGAAGTGGCGCTGTGGCTCAAGTGGTAGAGCGCTAGCCTTGAGCTGAAGAGCTGAGGGACAGTGCCCAGGCCCAGAGTTCAGGCCCCATGACC